CATCATAGTTGTGGAATAAAAAATCATATCTTCTGTTTTCAACGTTGTTCGTCGGACTGTCTCTTTCCGGATCAATGCATAGCATTCTTCTAAATCAGGTGTCACTTCTTTGCGCAAGATTTCTCCACGAACTTGCTCAAAATCATCATCTAGTCCAGCAAAGAATATATGCACCCTTAATCTTTCAATGGACTTCTGATATGACTTCACATCATCAGGTTCCTTCGTGACTACTTTGTCACGATGGTCCAATTCCCTAAAAATCTCAACCAACTCCCCATAATATTCAGTTAAGGTTCTATTTTTTTTTTGTTTTGTAGTGAATGACCTTTGATTCAAGGCAAACACATGTAGCTCATCACTTCCATCATAAAATGTCTTTGATAAAACATTCCAAATATCGAGGGCAGTGAGTAAGCGAATATACCTTTTCATAATTTCTGGCTTCATGGACGTCAATAGCCATCTTTTCACTTTCTGGTTTTTAGCATACAATTTTTTATATCCCTCATTGTTCTTTGTTAGAGGGTTCACCTTCTCACGGATATAGGACAATTTTTTCCTCTCTGCAATGTGCATCTCCATTAGTTATGATCATACGTCATAATTGGATTCATTTAGGATGATATCTACGTTGAAGACATCTTCAGATTGAACAACCATTGGAATTAGTTTTTCTGTCATCTCTCCCGTTAAGATTTTGTGTGGTCAATGTGGAGTGATTGAAGATATACGTGTTTCACAAGATTTTACAGTGAGTTGCTGAATGAACCATTATGTATTATTTACATGCACACCACTCAAAATCAGGTTTGTCCCTTTCATGATGACATTATCTATAATGTACACTTATTGTTAATGAAATTGTTTCGCTGCTGAAAACGTTTAAACATGATGTAGCACAAGAATCTTGTAACAACACATGGAAAACACAAATTGCAATTCAATACAAGATCCAAATTAATTTACCTTTTGTTGAGTATTGAAAGTCTACTGATACAAAAATCTGGGAGACGGATATAACCTGATTATATTTTAAAAATGAATCAAAAGTTTTAATTTAGTTGGATTTTATGATAGGTGAATAGGTTAATAATTTAAAAAAATATATATTAATATATTAATTTTATTTAAGATATAATTATTTAATATATAAATTATAAGAAAATATATTTATTTAATTTTTATGAAAGAGTTACAAATTTATTTTTTATTATTGTTTTTGTAGTAATTTATTAATTTAAAATAATAATTAATCTTAATTATTAAATTTTAAAATAAATAATTATTAAAGATTTATTTTAATATTTATTCTTAAAATAAATAAATCTTTTATCAAATTAATTTATAATATATATATATATATTTATATATTATTTTTTAATAAAATAATATTATTTTTAAAAATAATTATTATATTATAAAATAAATTAGTTCATAAATATATATACTAACCAAACTTAAATATATATAAATCATAATTTAAATTCACCGAATCAAAATAGGTATAATTTAATTTATATCATAAATTTTTTTTCTTAACCTAATTTTCATACCTTTTGAACCGATCATAATAAATCTATTTTCCAGTCAGTTTAAAAGGAAAGGAATGACTATGTCAATAACATGAATCATATGTATAACTAAACCATTTCTTTGGTATACGTAGAACTTAATAATAGTTGTAATGGGTTGAAAATTCAAATTCATAACAATCCTTCGTATCAATTTCTGCAAACATTTCTATCGTGTCATTATAACGTCCTATCTTTTATTTGGCAGTGTTGAGAAGTTTTCTTTATCATTTTATTGCATGTTTCTTGTTAGTATGTTTTCGATGAATATTTCCTCCGAGCAATTTTTTTTTTTTTTCATAAACGTTTCTTGTAAATTTTGTGTTTCTAGGATATTTATACCAAAGTTCTTACAAATTTTATATTTTATTATTCATGAAAGAATTACTTGTAAATCATAAATTATAAACATTTTTTTTCAATTTTTTTATAAATTTTTTTAAAATCCATAAAATATAAGGATGTCTAATAATAATTGTTTTATGATGGTTAAAGACATATCTTTTATAACAAATAAAACATTAATTAACTATAACATTATTAATATAATCACGACTGACATATAAATCAAGTCAAATCCAACTTGAGTTTTCTTATTTTACGAGGAAGTAATAAAATTAAATTTTGAGCATATATAAACTAAAATTTTAAATAATACATTCTAAAAATTATGTAAATAAATGATTACATCACATGATAATTAAAATTTTACGTATAATAATGTTCAAATCGAACAAAAACAAACTTTTATATGTTTTTTTGGTATAAATTATATATGAAAAGTACATATTGAATTCATTACACAACGCTAAGTGAATTTGAAAATCAGTTATACGAAAAAACAACTCTACGTAATCACATATGACTCTTATTACTTTTTTTTGCGTGAAATTAAATTATCCTGATTTATATTACATTAGCAATGTCTATTTCAAGAAAAGTCAAATGACACTTCTAATAAACTGAGACTTCAAATCAAAACCAGAAACCATGAATGCTGAATGAGACAAGCATATAAAGTTTAGAACATTAACCATTTTTAATCTATGTAAGATACACATGTAACCGACTGGTTCAACTTCCAAATGATATGTAATTATATATCTTCTCTATTCTAACACTAGCAAAGATCTTACCCATGTTCTAGTGCAAGTCACGTTACTGATTATAGTTTTCATATCAGCTTAACGATGTCAAGGTGTTACTTATATCACTCGCTGCATTGAACTGTTGAAGCCCATTTACATAAATAAATAAATAAATGTTTCCCTCCGAGAGCTTTTAACATTGCAGTTAAATAGAGAGTAATTTCATCAACTACTGTGTAAAGTTTGTAAAGTTCAAAGCCTAAATTGAACAACAAAGTGAACTTTTCATAAAAACTTTGAAGACTGACAGTTCTAGAGGATGAGACTCCATTGGAACAGAGTTAAACATTCTTTTCTGAAATTAATATCCATTCTCAACATAATAAGAGGATGCTAAAAAGCAATAATATAGCCAAGGAGAACCAAAGTGTTTCTCATTTGTATATGCTCGTGCTTCTAAACAGATATGCTCGTGTTTCTAAAGAGACGAAATCACAGTTAGATTGACAAAATTGAAAAGTATGTATTCATATATATCAGTTTCTTACCGCTATAAGCGGATTATAATCTTAACATTGAGAAGATTTTAATAAATGGAAGTGTTGATTTTGATAAAGAAAACTTCAGCAATTAGAATGTCTCCAGCAATGCCTAAAGTGTTATGTTTCCTATGCTTGGAGAATTTGATGATAGTAATACACATGAAAATATTGATACTCCTCCTCAATCGCCCAATCTCAGAAGAATGAAAGTCCTCTATATAAGTCTCATTTGATGGTCCTATATGAAAAAAGCTTGAAAATTCTTCATGAGTCCATGAAAATGATAGAAAATATCTCACTATTTTGTCTCTTTTCCAATTTTAGATCGCTAAAGAATGCAAGCTAAGAAGAATATATGGGAGCTCAAATGCATGTTGCCAATGAAGTCCTTTGATCCATCATTATTTAGTTCTATGTATTTTGAGATTCATAGTATGTTTCTATGCATATGCCTTTAGGTTCAAGTACTTGCATTTTTTAAAATATATATCTTAATTGAATTTGATAGTCAAAAACTACTTTTTGTTTTTCAAAATGAGATTATTATAATAGATTTGGTCTCCTCCAACTAAAATCTTCTCAAATAGACATAGTAAAAAAATGAAACACATGACAACAAGTTAAAGCAATAGCCATTTCTTTACTTATATCGTATAAGTGCTTTTGCAGTAATTCATTTGAAAAAAAAAAAAAAAGAGTTCAGAAATCTAAATAAAGTCTTTTTAAGTCCTAAAATTGATACCTTGCCATGGAAATCTTTAGGCAAGTTGATGAGATTTAGTATGCAGATGGACTATTGGTAGGATGGTTTGAAACTAGTGGTGATTACAACATTGTTTTAGCTAGAAATTATTATTATCTAATTCCATATTCCTTGAAAGTTGCTTGAAATGTGGAAATTTAGTCAACCCAGTAACAAGATCAATATTTATTATGATTTGTATATATTTTTAATATTTAAAACTTTGAATATCAAAAGAACATTGACTAGGGTGACAACCAAGCTAATAATCTACTACTAGATAATAATTTAGTTCAAAAAATTACTATTTAAGCAGTACTAAGTTTAACTTACTTTCATTTATTTTATATTTAAAATATATAGTGTGTAAAATTACCGTTTTAAAAAAACAAATTATTCTTGGGAATTAAGGAGTCATGACTCTCTCTTCTTGGGAATTAAGGGGTCGGGAACGGATCGTGTTTCTCAAAAATTTATAACTTTTATATAATTTATGATTTTTACTAATTAAGTTTAATTGGGAATGGAGAGAGTCGTGTTTCTCAAAATTTTATAATTTTTATATAATTTATAATTTTGACTGATTAAATTTAATAAACATTTATTATACTTACTTATATATTTATAATTTTGTTCTTTTAGTCTTCCTTATTTTTATATAATGTATGATTTTTGTCCCTTCAACTTTTATAATTACTTAATTTATTTATTTATATATTTACAATTTTATTTTTTTATCGTTTTATCTTCTTTTATTATTTTATATTTATTAATAATATATTATTTAATCTCAATTCAATATTAAAGATCCGTAAATAAGTGTTAAATATATCTGAGCAACGTCAGAAAAGAAAGAGTATAATAAAAGCTCGTTGTTGGCTGAAGTTTGTAACATTTCTTACTCTTTTCAATGAATCAAACAGTGTATAATAAAAAGCATGGCGGCGATTTTGAATTGATTTGTGGTGAATATAAATAAATGGGAGTGACGCCAAAGATGTTAACAACTCAGTTAGAACAAAAATGACAACACAACAACGAAAATGATCGGTGACTACGTCCACTCCAACCTAATAATGACCCTTGCTCCATGGAGGAGGACTGCATAAGTTAAATTAACCACTAAACAGATAAGAAATGAAGGAATATTAAAACATAAAAGCGAAATATTTGTTTCTGCTTTCTAATAATCCATTTTATTATCTATCATTTGATATGAGTTTATAAACAAATATATCAAAATATGTCACTCTTTTTTCTTTATAATTCATGTCTTATCTTTAACGACTAGTTCAGAATAAGGTATAAACAATACTTTCTAAGACGCAGAAAGAACATTAATATTTTGATAGTTTGCTAATTTGTTGAAATTAAAAAGTAAAGTATAATTTGAAAATAACTGATAATAAATACAGATTAAAAAAAGAGAGAAAACCCTTTTAATTTCTTACCAACTCTTCTAAGTTTCTTTGCCTCGTGTACCTAATAAACCAACCTTTCTAAGAACCAAGTCAATGCCACTTTGGACCAGGAACCTAAATCGGAGAAACTAATTCAATGGAACATAATTAACGGATTATTAATTAATTGCGCACCAAAAGATGAACAAGATCCGATCCAGAGGAGACCTGTTGACAACCCAGCACCCCATCTCTTCTCAGAAATAAGCAATAATAATAGAGACAGATTGAAACTTAATCAAGAAAACATGATGAACTTGATTTTGTAGAAGACTGAAATACCAATTCCAAATCCAACCCTTTAGCTTTGACTCCTTTGGGAAGCAATACACAGCATGCATGACTCCTCATACGCCATTTGGTAAGACCATCACCATTATGATGTGCTCTACAAATGGCATACAGGGAGCCAGGCACACAAAGTATGCTGATACATCCACAAAAATTAACCAAAAATGTTACAAGGGTTACTTCCTTGAGCAACATGCACAACATGGAAGATGATGGTGACGATGAGATATCTACATAGACATACATGGTAAGAAATGTAAGAGGTGATTAACCAAATGGTACCGTTCATCTTGAATGAAGTTTCTGCAGGATGTTATCTGAAAGCGATCCAAGCTAGGTAGGAGGAATTAAATGAGGAGCATAGGGAAGAAAAGTGTGCTCCAAAATCTAAAGTTCACAACCAAAAGGACAAAAAGGGCCCCTCTTAGTTGCATAGGCTACTGTTTTCTACTTGGAAACCAACCAAGCAGCTTTAAAGATGGCAATTTGGCATGAAGTGTAGGTAGCTTTGAAAATACTCTAGGTGGAAGACCATGTCTTTTTCCAACCTTTTTAAAGTCTCTTAAGGTTAGGATATGACTTTGGAGAGATTAGGGGTCACATATATGGACTTTAATAAAGAGGGTAAGAGGGGGATGAAGGTGGATAACAACCAGTGCCTTTTCCTGTTTGCTGGACGCTATGATGACTCTAGGGGATGCAATTTCTTTTTCCATTCCACATAAAAAGTGCGATTTCTTTTTCATCTTCTGCAAAGCTTTGTCTGCAAGTGCTTGGATCACCTTAGATTCCTATCACTCCCACAACGGAACATCTTCAAAGAACGAGATCTTTCCCTCCCCTTGTCCTTTTCCATTTATACTTTGTTTTGCTTCTGTTTTTTCTTTTTCTCTTTCTCATTTTGGTACACGTGATGCATGAATACATTATTGTCTTAAACATCAAGGGAGGTCCATTACAGAGAACTTAGGTACTTGTTCCTCTTCTTTCTTTGTCTTCCTTCACCCTTCTCTCTTGTAATTTGAACAAACTTCTGCACCCCATTTCAAATTTATGTCGTACGTTTATATGCTATATATACACATATTGACACATCAAAATGAAGTTTTTCTTAAAACAATCATTTCCCTCTAGACCAGATATTCCCTTTACCCGTGATTGTTTAAAATGACTTTTGTTATCTATTAGGTACACTTTGGAAAACTATTAATTATAATAATAATAATCTTGATTTTGATTCTAACGATCAAACATAAACGTAATCCCATATTGATAAACATGTTGTAAATTGAATACGAAATCGTACCTGAATTAGCCATAATGATGATATTTTGTAGAGCACTATATTGATCTTATGGTCTTCCACCTAAAAAGCACATGTATTTCTCTCTTGATTTTCTCTCTTGATAGGGATAGAAAGAAAGAAACGGGAACTGAGACTTACGTTCTGTGTGTGTACTCCCAGAAAGGGGACCATGACCCTTTAAATAACCAGAATTCGGTTAATTACTTAAGTTTTAGTATTTCCAATTTGGTCCCTCATCAAATTAGAAATTGCTTAATGATTTTTACACAATTTTATTTCCATGACATATGACTTTAGCCAAAACTTTAATTTAGTCAGATCACTTTATTATTTGGTTTAATAAATAATGACCCTAACACATTTAAATTATGTATCATATATATATGACCCAAATTTTGCCAACAATCTCCCACTGATCACAAATATATATGTCCTTACAACCTTACAAATGTGTTAGACTTTATGAGCTCAAAATTGTCATTATATTCCTTTAACATACTCCAAAAGTTCTGTCCATTAATCATATAAGAATATAGAACCAAACCAATTTTTCATTGCATCATCGCAACTAAAACCAACAATGATTACTCATCCTAACATAACCAAATGACATGGATTCATCATGAAATGTGTAGCATGAAAAATTACGTGAAGGTGATCTGTACACGTCTATTTTCAATTGGTCCAAACTTTAACTTATCGAGATCGATATAATATCCTTAATGTACAAAGTGTAATGAATGAACGAAAAAACTGCATATCTATAGATAACCAAATATGTCCAAAAAATCAATATATACATATATGAAATTAAACATAGAACATAAAATATATGAAAGTGACTAACTCCTACTAAACCACAAATTCCTCAAATTGTAAAACACCCATGTGAACAACATGCTCATGAAAGATCTTGGGCGGAAGTCCTTTAGTTAGAGGATCTGCTATCATGAAGTTTGTCTTTAAGTGTTCTATGAAAATCTGTCCACTTTGTATTCTTTTCTTAACAATACAGTTGATTTGTTGTCACAATATAACTTAAGTGGTCTTTCAATGTCTTTCACAATTTGCAGCCCTGTGACAAAATTTCTCAGTCATATTCCATGATTTAATGCCTCATAGCATGCTACAAATTCTTGACATCCTGCAAAATCTGAGTCAGTAAACCCAACGATCTCCAACTGGTCTGACCTCCTGTATGTGAACATATAATCTTTTGTTCTCTTTAAATATCTTATGACCATTTTTGCTGTTTTCCAATGGTCTATTCCTGGATTGCTTAAATATCTGCTTAGAACCCCAACTATGTATGCTATGTCTAGACGCATACATATTTGGGAATACATCAAACTCCCTACAGCTGATGCATAGAGAATCTTTTGCATTTTCTCAATTTCCAAATTCCCCTTTGGGCACTGATTGAGACTAAACTTGTCTCCCCTAGCAACTAGAGTATCCCTGGATTTATATTCATGCATGCCAAACCTTTTAAAAAAAAATTCGATATAGCTCCTTTGTGATAATCTTAAAATACCCCGACATCGATCTCGGTGTATCTGAATTCCTAATACAAAAGACGCATCACCAAGATCTTTCATTTCGAAATTCTTTGATAAAAATTTCTTGGTTTCGTGCAATATGTCTATATCATTAGTGGCAAGTAGAATGTCATCAACATACAAGATCAAGAAAATATACTTACTCCCCTTAAACTTGTGATATACACAATCATCAACAATATTCATCTCAAATCCAAATGAGAGAATTACTTGATGAAATTTATAGTATCATTGACGAGATGCTTGTTTTAGTTCATAAATTGATTTTGTCAATTTGCAAACCATATTCTTCGAATCTCCTTGCACAAAATTGACATACAACATTTTGTTTCTTTGAACACCAAGAAACTGGTACATCCATAAGTTTGAACAAATAGTCGTAGGTGCTCTTCCTTTCTACCTTATCACCACACCAGTCAGAATCTGACCAAGCTTCCAACATGTTTCCATCTTCACTGTGTTCTGTAGACCTTTTCAGAAAGAACAACCCAAGGCCAGTTGTGCCTTTTTTATACCTTAGTATATATTTTGTTGCTGCCATGTGTGATAATCTTGGACTGTTCATGAACTTGCTAATTAACCCAACACCGTAACATATATCTGACCTGTTGTTGCATAAGTATCTCAATGATCCAGTGATTTGTCTATACAACACTGCATCAACTTCTTCTTCTTCAATTTCTTCAGTCAGCCTCAAATACACCATGACTAGTATAGGTATTGGGTTACATTCTGACATGTTGAACTTCTTTAAAACCTCATTTGCATACTTCTTCTTATTTGAACTTCTCAATTTCTTGTTGTTTGTCTTCTATTACAAGTAAGTCATCTACATAAAGACAAATCAGTAGCACACCTTCACCCTTTGATTCTTTTATATACATGTCATACTCAACTAAACTCTTCACAAAACCTTGTTTATGTAGGAATGCATCAATCACCTTGTTCCAAGCTCTAGGAGCTTGTTTAAGACCGTATAAGGCCTTATTGAGTCTGTAGACTTGATGTTCACTTCCAACCTTTTCAAATCCTGGTGGTTGCCTCACATACACTTCTTCTTCCAATGGTCCATTAAGAAAAACAGATTTAACATCAAGTTGACATATAGTCCAACCTCTCCAGCTAGCAACAACCACAACAAGTCTCACAATTTCAAGCCTTGCGGCAGGAGCAAATACATCCGTGAAGTCAACGCCTTGTTTTTGTAGAAAGCCTTTGGCTACCAGCCTGGCTTTGTGCTTGGCCATTGTTCCATCAAATTTAAGCTTTAGTTTAAACACCCATTTCACATCAATAGGATGTTTGTCTCTCGGAAGATCTACCAGCTTCCATGTTCTGTTTCTTTCTATGGCTTCAAGCTCTTCAATCATAGCATTTTTCCACTCTTTGACATCAATTGCTTCTTTCCAACTCATTGGTTCTAAATCAATGAAAAAGGAAAAGTGCACCAACTCTCCATCATTGTTGATTTCATTATCACCAAGTGATTCATGATCAGTTAATCGGGTAGAAGGAAATATGACCCTTTGATATTTTCTAGAAGGAGGCAATTTAACTACATCAGCGCCACTAGAAGTTCTTTCTTTCTCTTCCAGAAAACACGGTATTTTCTGTGAGCTTGATTGACTCTCCCAATTCCATTTTGCAGCTTCATCCATCATTACATCTCTGCTTATGATCACTTGATTCAAAGCAGGATTGAATAATTTGTATGCACTAGTTGGATGATATCCCACCAAAATCAAGGTTTCACTCTTATCATCTAGTTTCTTCCTCTTTTCATCTGGTATGTGTCTGTGACAGATAGAACCAAATATCCGAAAGTGGTGCACCATAGGTTTGTGTCCAGACCATGTCTCTTCAGGTGTAACATTCTTCATCTTCTTTGTTGGACTCATGTTTAGTATAAAGGCAGCTGTGGTTATAGCTTCTCCCCAAAAATAGTTAGGTAATCCTTTACCTTTCATCATGCATCTCGTCATATCAAGTAAAGTTCTGTTTCTCCTTTATGTCAGGCCATTATGTTAGGGTGTATAGGGGGCTGTAATTTCATGCTCAACCCCTCTTGATTCGCAAAACTCATTCATCTCATTGGAATTAAACTCTCCTCCACCATTGGTTCTGAAAATCTCCAAACTCCAACCATATTGCCTCTCAACTTTAGCAAGCCATTTAACAAACATAGAAAATACCTCTTTCTTCTCTTTTATCATATATAGCCATACTTTCCTAGTGTATTCATCAACAAAAGTTAGGAAGTATTTATTATCTCCTAGAGAAGGTGTTTCAAACGGGCCACAAACATCTGAATGGACTACATTAAGAGGATGTTTTGCTCTTTTTAATGCAGTGACTTTAAATTTCTTCCTTGGTTGTTTCCCAATCAAAGAACATTCACATGTCTTTTGCGGGGTGATGTACCAATGACAATCCTTTTACCATTTTTTCACTACTCAACAAGTTTAGGCTCTTAAAGTTTAAGTGCTCAAATCTAAAATTTCAAAGCCAACTCTTTTCTTCAACATTCACAGAAGACAAGCATTGAATTGCAGTAGCGTCAAGATTAATTTTGAATGTTCTATTTCTTGATAGGAGCGCTTTCAGTAATAACCTTTCGCTAGATTTATAAACTTCAATGTGATTCTGCTACATAATCATGGAATAACCCTTTTCAAGTAACTGCCCTAGACTCAGCAAATTGTGCTGCATTGAGGGAACGTACAACACATCATGCATGTATGTTGTCTTACCATCCTTTCGTGTGATCACAACCTTGTCAATTCCCTCCGCTGTGATAGTATTATTATCTGCAAATCTAACACTGCTTTTCACCGTTGAATCAAGATCAATTAGTCAATCTCTATTTCCTGTCATATGGTTCGAACAACCAGTGTCAAGATACCACAAAGACATATCACTATCACCGTTTGTAGTATCCATTAATAATAC